AGAAGAATCCTTAGCCACAAACTGCAGGGAAAAAGTCAACATGTTACCACCAATAGCAAATGTCACCTCTGTAATGAGAAAGATGAGAGAGTTGAACACTTGATCAGTGGGGGCAGCAACATTTCACAAACTGACTACCTACAACGCCATGACCGTATTGATAAGATCATTCACTGGAAATTGTGCCAAAAGTTTGGATTTGAGTACAGCAAAAACCACTGGGTTGAGAAGGTTTTAGAAAATGTGAAAGTCAAGATCTTGTGAGACTTCAAAATCCAGACTGACAGTTACTTGGCCCACAACACACTTGACATAACAATAGTTGAAAAGAAAAAAGTATGGTTCATTGACATTGCAATACCTGGTGATGCACTAATTGAGCAAAAAAGAGCAAAAAAATTCATAATCACAAAGTACCAGGAGTTGCAAATTGAAGTTGAGCGACTGTGGAAAAAGAAATTGTGTGTTTTCCTTATTGTAATTGGAGCCCTTGGAGCAATACCTAAATAATACCTTGCTATTTGGAAATTTTAAATTTATCACACTTGAACATTCCGATTCTACAAAAAAAAAACCACCCTACTTGGAACAGCTTATGTCCTTCGATGTTACCTTAACAGTTCCTATGTTCTTGGTTAGGACTCGAGCTGTTGAGCTACCAACCAGTCCCAAAGGCTGTGAATCTCACCAAAGATTAACTACATAAATATTTGTTGCACATGTCAAGATTCTTATCATTAACCCAAGAACATTTTGGTGAACAAATATTTCCTCTCTCTCTCTCCCCCTATCTCTAGCAGAAGGGAGCTGTTTGCAAAAAAGCTTTTGCAAGTGTGACTGAGTTAAAACAGAAAAGAAAAAGCCAACATTCCTTACTTCCACTGATGCAAAAAAAAAAAAAAAAAAAGATCATCAGTTCTTGAAAAGGCTTGGTTTCTGTTTCTTTATGCCGCAGGTAAAGATAGAGCAACCAGTGATAAATTTTCACTCTTGAACATCACGAGTTGGATGGTTTAGTTTTGCAAACTATTGTGATCCATGAAACACACACCAGTTGTTGCTGTTACTTGTCCACTCAAACTCTTGTTACATATCGGTAGGATACCTTGATGCCTTGGCAAGGAGGGGCAACAGGTCAGAAAAATATCGAGGGCGTGCCTCCTTTCTTTTTCCAGCCCCTCTCCTTCCTTCCCTTGCTCTGGCAGCACCCCGGCAATAACAGCCAAGCAAGGGAAGGAGACACATCATAAAGCAGCCCCCACCATCAAGGGTGAAGAGGAGTGCCCCTCTGGGTGTCCTCTTATCTCTGCTTAACCCCCTTGCCATCATTTCTTTGGCCCTTGTGACCTGGCAATGCAGGGAAGGAGCAGGAGGAAAAGCAGAAGGAGGCAGGTGGGCAGAGAGAGAGAGGGAAGAAAAACTCAACCACCCACACAGTCTTCACCCATGCATGGGGTGTGGGCACTGCTATGACATGCATCTTGCTGCGCCGCTTCGACAAGCGAAGTAGGCATCGGCCACTAACTGCCTGCCCGTGTTCAAACTAGCCTGTCTGCTTTCTTCCTTCACAGGCTCTCTGGTGGGGCAGGGAAAGTCTTTTCCAAGGCCACCTTCTTTCCTGCCCTCCTGTTCATCAGTCTGTAGGGAAAGGGCACAGACCATTCAGTGGTGGTGGGGAAAGTGTGACTTCTTTGCCAGCCTCCCAGTTGACAAAACAGAAATTCTCGCCGGTTTGGTGGGCATGGGGGGGACATGTGACTGAATGAGTGTGGGTGTGAGTGATGTCAAGTTGGCCACGCCCATTCAGTCACATGCCCCTCCCACATAGCCACATCTATTAAACTGGTAATAAAATTATTTTGAAACCCACCCATGGGGCATGAAGTATATAATATTTTTGGATCTTAACTGAGCAGAGGAATAGTGAGTTAATTTCTAGCTTTTGTCCAATCCCCTTTAATCGAGAGATGACTACAGAGATTCTCAGTCATCCAGGTCATGGTTGTCCCAAAAGTGCTTTTTCAAGAAGCAACTGAACTTTCTTTGCTTTTCCTTGAGGATGTTTTTCTTCTCATCCAAGAAGCTTCTTCACTTCTGATGACTGGATGGTAGGGAATGGAAGGATTTATATTTCTTGCAGTCATCTGGTCTTTAGTATTCCTTTTGGAGAGACATTCAGGACACTTGGAGGTTCATCTGTGTCCACAACATCACCTGAATCGTGAAAAGGGGTATGGAACCTTTCTGGAACTGCTGAAAGTTCCAGGACAGTTACAACACAGTCCTTTCAGCAGTTTCAGAAAAGTTTGCATAATCATTTTCATGATTCAGGAGACCCTGAGGGCAAAGATAAATCTCCAAGTGCCCTGAATGACTCCCAAAAGGAATACTAATGACCAGATGACTGCAAGGAATATAAATCCTTCTATTCCCTCCCATCGAGTCAGAACTGAAGAATCTTCTTGTTTTTATCCTTCACTTTTGATATATTTGATGGATGAATAGCATGAGGAAAGGAATGAGGCAAGGCAGGGAGGGAGGGAGGAAGAAAGGAAGAAAAACTGAAATGTTACCTGCAGATGAGGATACCTGGAGCACAATATGAAGCAAAGCTGCAAAAGAATAAGAAATATGTAAGAAATATTTTCATTAAAGATTACCAGAATTTCACAGCAATTCTTTATATGTCTACCTAGAAATAGGTTCTTAGTGATGTAATTGTTTATTTTTTTAAAAAAAAATAATATTAATGTACTGCAACTTATTAAGAAAACTAGATATACATCCAAGGAATATATAGATTCACTTCAATTATAACAATTGCCACCATATGTTAAAAAGAGACAAGGAGGGAAGAAAACTAGGGGGTTTGTTAATTATCCTATAAATGGAACAACTTCAACAAAAACTTTTGGCTGGATTGCTCAAAAGCCCGTTGGTTAAAAAACAACCCAGCCTTCCCACTGATGATGATGGTGGACAATACATAATTCCAATGTTGATAGAAAATGCATATCAACATTGCTGCAAAACAGTAGCTGAATTCAACACATCTTCTTTTCTGTCCAATGTGCCTAGAATTACAGCCTTCCTTTGAAGCTGCATTATATTTATTTAAAGATACGCCATATAGAATGCCGCATGTTACATATTTCACATTATGCCTGGTATGAAAGAGAAACTAATCTGCTTTCTGCTGTTAGTAAGATTGTAACATCAGGTGCCTTGAAATCCCAAAAGTTGATCAACATTTAATCTAAAGGAAATTCACCTTTGCAAGCTTCAAAGCTAAACCGCAGAGGCCTTTTAAATTTCTTTTGTTCATTAAAGGGCACCCAACAGAGATTGGGTTCAGCCAGTTTGGACCAATTCACCTGAATTCGCAGTGGAAATCATGGGTGGGCCTACCCCAGCTCTAAGCCGTCCTATTTAGCCACATTTTCAAGCCGTGCACATGTGTGCAAGCTCACGCACAATCAAAGTGCATGCATAGAAGGACCCATTTGCACACATACATGGTCACATTTGCGAACCGGGAGGGAAAATAAGTGAATACCACTCTGGTACCCAAGATGCATCATTCTCTGCAATTTTAAATGATTGGCAAAACAAAGTTTTCATTTTAATAACAATGGTGTGAGATCAGAAATTAATAACAATAACAATAATAACAACAACAACAACAACAATAATGCAAAGAAGAAGAGTTTTGAGGAAAGGCAACTCACTTAGCATAGGAACCAGGCCAAAGGCATCCATGTTGAGTGAGATCAATCTTTTTCCAAATTTTGATTTTGAAATTAAGATCTCTCAGGAATTACTGTTCTTCAAAACCTATACTTTAGTATCTTGACTTCTAAAATGAACCTTCTCCTTTGAAGTAGATTGTCTAAATGCCTTCTATGGGAAGTCCTGAGTGTTATCAAGGGAAGCTCACAGTTGCACAATCATTCTGCATAGAAATGCCAGACAGAAACTTAGTCACATATTCATAGGAAATTGTTTCAAGAAACAGAAAGCTCAAATCGGAGATCTCAGCTGGCATTTTGCATTGCTTATCTCAGCAAAAATCCATTTTATACTTATCATTATTAAATATCCTATCCGTCCTAAATTAACAGGAAGAAGTTGCAAAAGAATGATATTTCTGTTTGATATAATAGATCAGTGGTTCCCAAAATGGGCGGTACCTTTTTCTCTTGCCGCACAAGGAAGCGAAGCCAAATTTGTTTATTTAACCTCCTGCTCCAGCCTCCCCCACCCTACTACATTAAGATCCCTGCGCTTCCCATTTCTGATGTAAGTACTCAGGCAATGTGAGCGAGCAGGTGCGTGAGGCCCCTCGATGATCTGAGGGAGGCCGGGAGGTGCCAAACGGCACCCAGTCATCCTCACTCCCTTGCGGCTAAGGGTGGGAGCACCTGAGATGCTGCTGGGAGATTGTCCCCTTCAGGTTGCTGGGACAGCAAATTTCAATGGAAAATGCAGCTGCTGGAATGGGTGCACCTGCAACTTAATGCTCTCCAAGAAGATTGCATTACTGGGAGCAGCAGAACAGCAGCAGCAGGCGCCACTGCCACCCGTGGTGTCCAGCATCATCCTCAGGAGCCTTGAGTTGTGGCCATTTGCATGTCTCTCCCGAGCTTCTCTTGGGAGATGAAATGGCAGGCTCCCCTCTGGGTGAAAGGTGAGTGAAGGGTGCAGTGATGGGAGAGGCTGGCTGTCCCCGAAGCCAGCTCTCGAGAGATGAGGCCCGGGTCTCGCTTCCCTTCATCCTTCCTCCAAGAGCTGCAGGTGGCAGGGAAAATGAGGCTTCTTTGCCAGCTTCCCAACTGGCAAAAGAGAATTTTTCACCAACTGGAAAGTATGTGTGGGGGAGAGAGAGAGTGGGGGAGAGAGAGAGAGGGGGAGAGAGAGAGTGGGGGAGAGAGAGAGTGGGGGAGAGAGAGAGTGGGGGAGAGAGAGAGAGAGAAAGAGAAAGAGATAATAAAAGGAAGGAAAGGAGAGAGAGAATAAAGAGAGACAAATAGAAAGAGAGAGAATGAAAGAAAGAAAGAAAAAGAAGAAAAGAGAAAGTAAGTGGGGGAGACAGAGACAAGAAAGAAAGAAGGAACAAAGGAAGGAAGGAGGGGAAATGAAAAGAAAGAAAGAATGGACAGAAGGAAGAAAACAAAAGGAAAGAAAGAAAGAAAGAAAGAAAGAAAGAGGAAAAGAGTGATATAAGAAAGAAGGAAGGAAGGAAGCAACAAAAAGTAAGAGAACTTATGATCACAATTGAGCCCAAAATTTTGGTTGCTAAGCAAGAGCATTGTTAAATGAGTTTCACCACATTTTACAAGTTGGCCACTGTCACTTGGTCACATAACCACCAAGCCATGCCCACAAAATAGGCTACATGTACAGAATAGGTTCTTAAAATTTTTTGAAACCTACCACTGGTATATGTGTATATTTGTGTGTGAGAGAGAAAATAATTAAGGTCATTGATCTAAAGATGAAAAACTTTAGATAAAAGACAAAAGTGTTTATTATCCATTTTG